GTCCGAAATTGATTCCAAAAACGAACACTGAGATTGGAACGGGTGCAGGAACATCCTTGGCAGGGGCCGAGAAAAACCTCCTCCTTCTCACAATCAGAGAACAACCCATCATCACTCCCAACTCTCCGATTACTATCATACAGGTGCACTTCCTCCTCCACCGCGGCCGTAGGAGTCTCCACAGTCGCAGCAGCCGCCGTGGACGGAGAATCGAGAATATTATACACTTCCCTGTCAAAATAACCGGGCAATTTCCTCTCCCTCCTCAAATCATTCCTCATGAGCCAAAACGACTCCCCTTCGTCCCTGACCTGCGACTCCCACTCCTTGATCTTCTTGTAATCGCCGGCGAGGTTGCTCCACCGCTTCCGGCACTGCACCGGCTCCCGGTTCACGCCGTGCTTTTTGCAGTACGCCGAGACCAGCGCCCATTTCGGTTCGCTCAAACCGAACGCCGAACCGCTCCCCCGACCCGGTCTGAACCGGTTCTCCGCGTCACTCTTCCCCTGAATCAGCACCAGAATCTCCTGCCGCGTCCACCGCGGCAGCCTCGCCGCCGGCCTTCCGTCGTCGCCTCCGTCCGCGGCGGAGCACGGCGCGGCGCCGTTACCCGCCCCGTCAACGGCGTTGGGGTTGGAAGGCTGGTCCAGAGCCATGAAAAAGAGAATTGTGAAAAAACACGTGACTGGCACGTGAGAATTTGTGACGGTGCCTTTGGGAATGCCCGTTACGGCGTTAAGAAAAAAAAAAAAAGAGGGTTTAGGTTTTGTTTATTTATGTTTCTCTCCGTAAGAACGAAGAGAGGAAGAGAAGAAAAAAAAAATTAGAGAGAAAGAGAGAGTGGGTTTTTGTTTTTGTGTTTTGTGTTTTGTGTTTTGTGGCTTTTGCCAGTGAATTTGGGGTTTTTATTTTTAATTTTTTTACTTCACTAATCATGTTTTGACCCTTAACCCCTTAACAAGGGTTTCTTTAATTTATTATTGCTATTAACAATTATTATTGATTACTATTTATTGGGGTCATATCCTTATCTTTAATTCTGAATTAATGGCATTTTCTTTGTTTGTAAAGGTTACTTGTTGGGTTGGTTTGACATAAAATTCCCCAAACAGCACTTTCATTTCATTGTCCATCCTCAGTTTTTTTTTCTATTCCTGTTTTTGGTCATTTTCCAAACCCTATGAGATGTGAAATTCTGACTCTCCCTTCCTGTTTGGGGTTTCCATGTAACGTCTAAAATTCCACCTTCAACCCCTTGATGTTACTATGAGCTTTTTCTTCTTCTTTTTTTCACCCTTTTTTATAAATACTTTTTAATAAATATTTTTTAATAAATGTGGTATCAATCAAAGGAGGAATAACTCCAAATCCCCTTTTAAATAGTTGTTGTTGATGAGTTGACAAGGGCATGCTACCCTACCACTCACTAATCCTTTCTTTCCTTTCTCAACCTCTCTTATCTTATCGAATAATTTCCCTCTAATCTTTGCTTAATGCTCAATGCTTAATCTCCATTTCCATGGCCCCCTCCATTAAACCCACTTTCTTCTTTTTTTTCCCCTTTCTGCTTTCACTACTCTCACTCAATTATAATTTATCGCACGCCTCTTACGTAAGGTGCCATTCACACATTCTCGCTAAATAAACCAAAACAATTTCTGCCTTACGAAATCAAATCTTCAAAATCAGGTAATAACCCAAACAAACATGATTCTCACACAACTTCACAAAAAAACATTCTTCATTTAAATTTGTAGTCTTACAGGAAATGTATAAATGAAGACACCCAATACTAATAACGTCTAAATCTAATTTTAATTATGTACTTCTGACTTGTTTGTGACACTTATGTTGGATTTATCAAAGAAAGAAGTTAATAAAAGAAAATACGATATTAATGAGATTTAAGTCAAAGTTAGGATTAAGAGTCAATCGTAAAGATTGAACAAAACATTATCTATATCCAAAAAATCTTAAGACAATTGGATAATGAGTTTTTATTTTTATATGTGGTACACTTTTAACTTTTTTTTTTTAACTCATATAAAACTTAGACTCACCATAAATTTCAACTACTCATACTCAAAATAATTTTTTGTTACTAACAGGTTTGCAATGGATTGAGAAAATACTTACTTCTTTCACTCATACTTTGTTTGTGACACTCGTATTTAAAACGATAATTTTTGTATATGGAGTCTGAAGAAGTTATTAACATGGTTGTATACAAAGAGACAAGAATTCTCGATCTTTCTTAAATTGAATATATTAAATAACATATGACAACTTTTGTTTCATTTTCCTGGATTATAATTGAGATTTAAAAAATTCACTGCTGACTATGTTTTATTTTTTCTTTTTCTTTCCCTCCTTCTTTTTTTTCTTTTGATCGCTTTTTTTTCTTCTCCTCAAATTCCTCAAGAATTGGATGCAGTGCAAATCAAAGCTCCCTAAAATAAGGGTTGAAGGAGCGAGTAAACAAAGGTATAAGCTAGATTAAATTCAACTAATTTTGACTACAATAGGTCTAAATAGCGTTATGGATCTTTATTGCTTTCAACTTGTGTGTTATTTTTTAAGTTTCATCCATTTCTTATGGATGTGATATTTTCAAGGAAAAAAAATTGAATTCAATGTGGCTATTTAGTTTTATTCAACAGGTCCTTCTTTGTGGTTTTATGAAATGTTTTGTTCTCTTTCTCTAATGGTTTTTTTAGCTGAGTCTTTTGGGGTGTCTTTATCTACAGTGTTGAATTATTAACCTAATTCTAAATTATTGAAGTTACTTAATATAATCTCCCGTTAACAAAGTGTGCATTTTTATTTAAGATGGAGAAATGAGATAAACCATACATGGGGGATATATATGTGTTGTTGATTTGTTTTGTTTATTTACTAATAATAATTTTTTTTTTAAATAATTATTCTATCTATAGTCTTATAAAATTCAAATAGTTGTAAATATTAAATATAAAAAATAAATTAAAATTTTTTGCGATAAATTTGATTATTAATATTTTGTTTAGTTCCGTGATTAAACTCGTAATCTCTTCCACCCTTCGTTCCAAACCTTCAAAAAACTAAAATTATCATATTTCAAAGTTTATTTGAGAGAGTTGAATTCAAAGTTTTTTTCAATTTTGTTTTTCAATTTTTACCCGAAAATAAACCAAACCTTAAAACTCCAATTTTGTAGCCAAGTTGTACTCTTTCTAACAGTTGATAACAAAACAAACAAGAGGGTTAGTGTGAAATTCTATGTCTTTCTTCTCCCTTTTTATTATTATTTATCTGATTGTTCTTTTTTGTTACACAACTTTTTCTATTTTCTTCTATCATCATAGTTACATTGTTGAAGACAATCTAATTCACAAGGTTGCCTCAACATGAATTGAATTAAAATTAGTTAACTCAATTTGGTTTTACTTTTTGATAAGTTAAAAAATTTATAACTGACTCGACTCACTACGAATTGGTGAATTTGTAAATTGACCCATTTAAAAATATACTTTTAAATCATTCCCCTTATATATATATATATATATATTAAATATCTAAACTATATATATATTAAATATCTAAACTATTCAAACATCATTAAACATCATTCTATAATTTAAAAAGATGAAATTGGCAACCCATGTAATTAGAACTAGCACAAATTATAATAAGAAATTTGTAGAAAATGGTTAAAAACCTAATAAAGAGTTGTTGTTGGTGGGCCTCAAATTTAACTCATTTAAAAGAGCTGTCCAAATTCAAATGAGCATGAATATGTGATGAGTCAAATTAAATCACACTATTAAAAAATCGTTGGACTTCAATATTCGAAAGACACAACTAGTTTTGGCTTATTGTTTCTAAATAGATTAGCAAGTTAGAATTGTGCAATTGTCTTAAAAGCTTTCTTTGGTTCGAAGTTGGTGTGGAGACAAGGTTGAAAGAAAAAGTACCTGATGGAAGCGAAATGGTGGTATGATAAGTCTATTAATTCAATTTCAAAGATCAAAGTTCTGGCTCGACGACTAATGATAAAAGAAGTGTTTAATCAGTTATATAGGCATAATAAAGGATGGTGATAAGGAAAACTTAGGTTGAGATTTTATATCCAAGGGCTTGAGTCCCAAAATCTCTAACATCCTCCAATATCAAGTTTTAAAAGAATTATTTAGTTGTGTGACCTACTAACAAGTGTACCATGTTGATTGTAGTTCAACCGAATGAAGGTTATCATATCCACAAGAATTAGCAATTTCAAGCATGTTTGAACTATTTTGTTTTTTAGTTTAAGAGAATTATTCCCTATCTTTTCATTTGTGAATGCAGACACACACATCTTTCTTTCATTTCTCTCAGAGCTTTCCTTAGTTCACCGTCATTTCTTCTCCCTCTCCATAATTTATTTCATCTTAATAATACATCTCATTTTGAGTTACTTCATCTAATTCAAAATCTAAACAATAATCTTCTATACCAAAATTATAACCACTTACACACAAAGAATAACAATAACAATGTATATACTAATATACTCAAAACAGTTATCACAAAAACAAAATTTTGAAATCTCGTAGACTACTTCACTAAAATTGGATTTTGAAATCCATAAACAAATTTAAAATCAATTTTCAAAATTTGATACCCAAATCACTACCAAATTTCCAAATCCGATGCAACACACAAATTCACTCACAACCCAAAATTCGAAGTCCAGTGAACACTTACAAAATTGGATTTCAAAATCCGATGAGCAATCTTAAAATCAGTTTCCAAAATTTGGTACCCTAATCACCATCGAACTTCTAAGTCCAATGCAACACGAAAGTTCATTAGGATTTCAACATCCAATGAACAGTCACATGACCAAATTTTGAAATTTAGTGAACAATCTCCTGTTTGATTTTCAAAATGTGGTACCCCAATCACCACTTCACACATAAACCATGTCTTGAATTTTAATTATACACTTAAAATCGGTCTTTAAAATTCAGTACAACCAATTAATAATCATCGCTTAACCCAACTATTTCATGACAATAATTGGATTTCCAAATATAGTGAACATTAACCACCATATTTCAAAATTCGATACTCTATGTATTTCACACTTAAGCAACTTTGAGAGTCTGGTTCAATCCTCCAAATTTCACACAAAACGTATTTCTAAATGTAGAGAGAGATACACCTTAAAAAATCTCCAAACCTAAAACAAAATATGGTTACCTACATTAATGTTGTGCTCGTTTGAATATAATCCGGTGTTTAAAACTGTTCATGAAGATGAATTTGTGAGCTAAATCACATTCGTTTTGAGATATTTGTAAGTGATGCAAAACAATGGTTTTGGGGATTGACGAGATTTTAAATTTTCGATGGTTTGCTCGAATTTAAAGTGATTTTAAGTTAAATATCAGTTTTGCCCTGATACAATTAACATTTTACGTGAGAAAGCTTGCATGCAATGGACATCGAAGTGAGATTTGAGATGAAGAAGAACCAAGCGTAATACATGGACATGAAGTTTATTTCACATATAAACCATTTTACCACTGGTCTAATCGTGAGTGAGGTTGAAGACGAAGGGGTTAAAGATGAAAATGTTGAAAATTGAAGTTGCAGGTGAAGAGAACTTGAAGATGAAAGTAGAATAATTTCACTACAATTATAACTAATTCTACTTTGAGATGAAATCGATTCCAAATAGAAATAATAACAGATCCCACTTTAAAATAAAATCGATTCCAAGTAACTTATATCCTATTCAAAACCACAAAAAAATTTGTCCATTGTGTTTGCTACCGGTACATATTTTATAAACAAATATTCACCTTTCATTCTAACTTTTATTTAATTCTTCACTTTTATAATTCTAGTGTAAAGCAACATGACTTTTGAAATGTTTAATGCACCCTTACATTCTTTTCTTTAATATTTAGGAAAAAAAATTATCATTACTAAATAATTTAAATTAATTGAATACTAATTAATAACTCATAAATTATAAAGGTGGACG